CGGCGCACGTTAGTAAACCCCATTTTTTTCTTTCCCCCTTTTTGTTATCTTCTGCCGCCCACCTTATCCCCTTTCCTCTTTTATCTTACTGTGACCATGGACCCCACCTTATCGTTTTCAATCACCTTTTCAATTTTTAAGTATACCTTTTTCTAAATTACAGAAAAACCAAAAGTCCTCATTTACTCCCAACTCTACAACCCACGGCAAGAACCAATTTTAAACCAAATTCAACCAAAATTCCAACCATCTTCATCTTCTCAAACCCGATCGCTCATTCCCCAAAAAGCACGAGACCATCATCCTTTCTTCCTCTCCTCACCGTCGCCCTTGCTAACGTGTTTTCAACTTCTCCACTCACAATGGTACGCACAATCAGGGGATGTAGATGCTGGTTTTCCACCGACAACATGATGTTTCCAGTACCTCCCACCATGGTCGTGGTCGACATTAAATACAGGGAGTTCTCTGTTCTTTCTCTTGCACTTTAATTTTTTTTTCGTTTTGAGGCAAAACGCTTTAAGTGAGGGGGAGTAGAGTGTCGGTTGTATTTCCCTTTGTTTATTTTTATGCTTTGAATCTAGTATGTGTTAGTTGAATTGGTCGGAAATTTCATTGATTGTCTTTGTCTTGGTGAAAATTTTTGGAATGCTATGCTTGTTTGGGAACACATGATTATTTAGGTTATGATATTCTTGATAATGGATAGCATGGATTGTGATAAGTTGGTATTTTTGTGATATTCCATGATTTTTTTGGTTGAAATGTGATTAGCTCAATGCATGAAAACAATTTGGTGAGATTTGAGCCTTTACGAGCATATCATTTTCTCTCTCATTTTGTTTTATCGAGTGTGTCGAATTTGACATTGGCATTCTAGAACCTGCATGTTAAATACTGTCGAGATTACACATGAACATGATGCTTAAAAATAATTTGGGCACCTTAGGATTAACCATTCCGTTTCCCCATTAAATAGCCTACCCATGCATATTTTCCCTTAGTTAACCACTTTTGAGCCTATTTCCATTTCTTTGTTTCCACCATATTCATAAACCCGAGCCTTTTTATTTTATCCTTCTTTTCTACCTTTTTCAGGGCAAGTGAATAATTTTACCATTGTATTCTCCATCACAAAAAAAATGTTGAAAAAAAAATAGCAGTTCGAAAAAGAAAAAAAAACTGTTCGAAAAAAAAGACATGAAAGAAAAAATGGAAAACAAAACAACAAAAGTGTGAAAAAGAATAAATGCATTTCGACGAGAAAATTGTTGTTTGATATGTCGTCTTTTATATCTTGTTGTGCTTAATGTTTTGATAGAGTTGAGATTATTATTTGTTAGTTCCTTGCCTTGAATTTTAGCCATATATTTAGCCTTTTCCCCACCTTTACCTAAGCCACGTTACAACCAATAAAAGACTCTTTGATTTATGCATCTTGTTCTTATTAGTAGTGGAGATTTGATTTACTTGCAGGCTTATGGTAATATCGTGTCGATTATGACATTGAGCGTTTCTTTACCCCAAACACATTGAGTGATTTGAGTGAATCCCGGTGATGTTCAGTTGATTGATTTCTTGACTTCAATAGTTATTGTGGTTTCTACCTTGCTTCCTTGAATATGAAACTTGACAAAGAACGTTTAATGAAGTTTTTGACTGATTTGGTTAATCATACTTGAGGACAAGCATGAGATAAGTGAGGGGGAATTTGATGAGTGTTCAGAATCGTTAATATTTGTTCGTTATTTCTTTGATTTTGTGAAGTTATTGCTGCTGATTTGGTTGTGTTATGTCTATTTTCGTGCAGGTCCTTGCTTTCCAGAATTGGTGATAAAACGGGTGAATTCTGCATTTTTATTATTATTTGGTCACGGCTGGAGACATAGGCACGACTTTGGGCACGACGTGGTCTGACATGGCAGTTTCTAGAAGGTCCAGTCAGCGGCGGTTTCTAGGAGACTTCGTCTGCACGCCTTCTAGAAGATTGACGAGCAGAGTTGCATTAGGAGACTAGTTTAAGTTTGAATTTAAATTTAAAAACAATTATCTTTTGTATTATTTTATTATTTTCTTTGTTTATCCTTTAGGCTTTGAGAGGCTATAAATACCCACTTGGGGTAAGCCTAAACTCATCATTCGGAATACATTCTTCTTTTCTCTCTAGTTTTTATAAAAGCTTTTCTTTTTACTTTTCAAGTTCTTTTCATTTTTCTTATTTTCAAGTTTTGTTTTTATGCTAAGTATAACTTTTGTCATGCTTAGCTAAACTTTTCATAAGCCGAGAGCTGTCGCGATGATTCAATTCCAACGGGAGAATTGAAACGGTCCCTTAATATCTTCGGAATCTCTCTCTCAATCTCTGCGCTTATTTTTCAAAATCAAAACAGTTTTCAAAATCGAAGATTGACTTTGGTCAAGAAGTTGTTGCGATTAAACGTGTGGGAGGAAGATTCGGCTTATAGAAAGCAATTCGACTTCCTGGGAACACACTTGGCGAGATAGCTTCGCCAAGAGGGAATTGAGATCGGAATTGACGGTTATAGAAACAACAATCCGAGTCGGTCGCCACGAACTTAAACGGTATTTGATCTACGACAATAGATGTTGTTAGAATCAACTACCGAAGCTGGAATCAAAGATTGCCTTGGGTATTCGGTATACAAGATAGAGTCACAAGGATAGCCCTTGTAGACAAAGTAACCGACGTGAATCCCGAAGAGAAAATCTTATTCGATGATCTAAAGGAAATTGAATCAAAGCGAAGCTTGAGGCTACTTTTTACCGTATTTATTCACAATCTTCATCTTCTTATTTTTACTTTAATTACTTTTATTTAATCACTTTATTATCTTTTACTAAAATCCCCCCATTTTTACTCTTTCACGCCTGCCATAGACCAATCAAACATTAAATTAAGAATTTTTCAAATCCCTGTGGATTCGACCCTACTTCTCTACGCTACGAATTTTCCTTTAATTATTATCCGAGAAGAACGAATTTATTTTGACATCAAAACGACAGTTGTCACCGGTACAATGGCGGCGAAAATGTACAGTACCGGAACCTCTCCCATATGCTGTAATAAGAGATATGATAAGAACAAGTTCGTCTTCTGGTGTCAACAAACGTAATGGATTCAAAGCTTACCTTTATCACTGTCCAGTGATATAATGATGCATCTTCCCAAAGAAGTGGGCAGACCAGTCTCCTCGGAACGCCAGGACTAACTTGGCGTGGTATCGTATAAGAAAGAGCTGTCCAACATAATACCATCATTGGAACCCCATAATCTGCAACAAAACCTAGAAGACTAGCCGTTCCATATGGCCATGATCTGGCATGTCGAGTACTGAGGGAAGTGAATAGAACCCCAAATGAGAAAATGATTGCCAGCAAACCATTTGTGTGCAGCCAGGGGAACTGATATTTCTCCAACATTGGGTTTTCAACTTTGGGAACATTGAACTCATTGACCACTCCCTGTATGTATCCAAACATTCATCATAATTAATCATCAAGATCAAACCAGAAACCACAGGATACTCATTCATTCAATACCTTAATATCTTCTTGAAGGAAAAGAACAGTTATTAACATGCCGAATTGCTCTCCTGTAACTCTTGTAAAACCTGGTGATTATGGTGCATGCATTGAAGATAGAGAGAAGAATGAGCATCAAAGATGTCCATACACAGACACTATGAAGGAAAACAAAAGGCAAAAAAATGTCAACAAATATCTTGTTCATAATTGATCGCATATGAATATATATATATATATATATATACATATATATATATGTATATATATGTATGTATATATATACATATATATATATATATATATATATATATGTATGTATATATTGTGAATACATCAAATACGTTACCATGAAGTCCAAGCCAAAAAGAGCTTCTGGCCCAACTCTGGCCTTCCTTTGCTGAAATTGTACAAATATGTGTACATAATAACTGTCGGCTCTGCAACTCCTAATATCAACAATGGTTGCCCACCAAAAATGGAGTGAATGACTCCACAAATAGCTGTGGAAGCCAATGTTTCCAAGGGTTCCATCTGTGTCTCGACTCAATTGCTCCCCAAAGGCAATAACAGGAAGAGCAGAAGCAAAGAAGATATAGGCAGTTGGAGCTAATATCCTGATATATATATATATATATATATATATATATAGCAATATCAATATCAGAAATTATCTCGTAACAAAAAATTTGGAAAGCAAGAACATATTTATATACCGAAGGCCTGGGCAAATCCAATCATGCTTGTAGTACTTTCTTCTTCCTTGGAAATCTTTGATTATCCCCTCGAATGGACTTCCTAGCTTTCCCATAGCTGATTCAAGAGAAGAAGAAAAGAAAAACGTCTTCTTACTTGAAAGCTTTATAATCTACATTCTAGCAAGACATGTATATCACATAATTAAGGAGAATATGCATGCATGTATTTATGTACGTCAATACGTATGCATGTGAATGTTCTTGTATATCAATATTGAAAGAAAAAAAAACCCAGAATGTTCAAGGAAAAGAAAAACCATGATTTATAATACGGGAAAAAGAACCCATCATACCAGAATTTATAGTTCTTACAAATGGAAATGTGTAGGAGCCGGAGACAAGAGTTTCCAAGGTGGAAGATGATCGGAAAATTTCAGATTAATTCTTTTCTAGGTTCATTTACGAACTAGAAAACTAATACAAAAAGGAACTTTCTAAATCTTCCTTGAAATGATTTCTCTGTTTACTGAAATTTTCTGAACGTGCAAAGAGAGCTTGCGAGGCGAATATATTCAGAAAACTGGGTGCAACTGTTGCGGGTTCTTTTCTATTTATGGTTGCTGACATGCCAGATCTTCTTCTTCCTTGGAGCAAAATGATTAGTGGTTCTTCGGTTACAACCATGATCGTTAAAAACGGACCCTGCCGGTGGAACTGATGGATAAAACTGGTAATTTTGCAAACCATTTCATGATCATTAGCTAATCAGTGTTTTTGATGTGAACATGTATCTTCATTTCATGAGTCTGACTCTACTGCGAGGTCTCCTAATTCATTGGATTTATTATTCCTTTGCAGCAAATGCAGACACTATTTAGGAGCTATCTTCAAGATATGCTTGTCCTTGTAAGTTCTTGAACAATAAAGCTCTCTTTACTAATTCCCTTGAACACATTCTCTATAACTGTTCGACACTAACATGTTCAGTTTATTGTAAGGTTGATTTAGCAGGAATGTAAGATTACAGTACTTGGTTAAATGAATAAAAGATTATTGAAATGTATATTTTACCAAATTATCTTTATTATATATTTGTTTTTTAACAAGTTGAATTTTACTATAATCAACAACAACAACAACAACAACAACAACAACAAAACCCTATTCCCATATGCAATTGGGTAAGGGGGAGGTAGGGTAGTAGGCTGCCCCCAACGCCAGGTTGAGAGCAGTTTCCGTGAAAGACCTCTGGCAGTCAGAAAATTAAAAATAAAGATAAAATGCAATACATGTATAAATAAATAAATAAATACATAGTTGAACAGTCTTCATATGTAATCTTCATATGCGCGTCTGTAATGGGAAGTAATCTCTGCAAATAAATCCCTGCGTAAAAATCTCTGCATATAGACAGAAACGTAAGACCCGCCTAAATTTAAAAAGAGGAAACATGAAGAGAATGATACACAGAAGTCAACGATAGCAAGCTACGAGAAGGAATAAAGTCAAATGGGTTAAAACCTAAAACTAAGGCAACAGTACTCCGCTACCCTAGTTCTAAGCCTTCATAAATTTCAATGACAGAAACGTATAAAAAGTAGAAATCATGGAAATTACTACAAAGGCATTTAAAGAAAACATAGCTGATACACCCTATGGATGTGACCCGCACTACTCGGCTACCCTGATCTTAAGTTTCTATACTTTCCTATCAGATGTCATGTCATCGGTAAGGGCTAAATCCTTCAAATTAGATCTCAAGCAGTCTTCCCACTTCTGCCTTGGTCTTCCTCTCCTTCTGGAACCGTCGACTGTAATCGACTCTACCCTCATGGTCGTATCCTACGGTTGTCACCTAAGGACATGCCCAAACCACCATAGTCTTCCCCTCCCTCAATTTTTTGAATAGATGCACCACCCCCAAGGACATCCTAATAGCAGAGTTTGGTGTAATGTCCCACAAAGTCCTACCACATGCCCATCGAAGCATTCTCATTTCTGCGGCCTCCATCCTCCTTACATGATCCTTCTTGATTGCCCAACATTCTGATCCACACAGCAGCGCTGGTCTTATTGCCATTCTATAAAATTTTCCCTTAAGTTTTAGAGGCACCTTATTGTCACACAAAACTCCAGTAGCAGCCCTCCACTTTAGCCATCCCGTCTTTATACGGTGTGTAACGTCATCATCCACACCCTATCTTTATGTATCATAGACCCTAGGTACTTGAAACAATCCTTTGAGGGGAGAACGTGTCCTTCTATGCATATTTCTACATCTTCATCATTTTGGTTCCCACTGAAGTTTGAACATAAATACTATGTCTTTTCAGTATTGATCCTTAGACATTTTTCTTCCAGAGCAGTCTTCCAGGTAGCCAGTCTACTATTCAGCTCAGTTTTTGTTTCAGCAACTAGGACAATGTCGTCAGCGAAAAACATACACCATGGAACACCGTCTGGTGTCGCACAATAGATGTCGTCCATAATCAAGGTGAATTATGGATTTTTTTGTAAATCTAAAATAATTTAAGGATAAATTTGTAATTTAACCTTCGTAGAATTTTTGTTATTTAACGACAGAAGAATGATAATTTTGAAGAAACTTTTTTAAGGGTATTTTAGTCCAAAACGCCGGTAATCCAACAATACCTAAGGGAATGTGGGTAATCACATTCCTGATAATATATCCCAAAAAATCCGTTGTTGGTAATAAAAGATTACCGGGAATAGGATTACAGGCCAACCAAACGGGGAATGAGGATTTCATTCCCCCGATAATCTTATATGACTTGAACCAAATAACCCCTAAGGGAAACGAGCGGGTGGTCTATGTCTCCTTCCATTTCCTTCCCCCAATCTTCTCTTAATCCTAACATAGTATTATAAAAATAGAAAGCCAGAGTGATATTTACGCTACATGATTAGTAACTTTTATGGTCAAGTTACTGGTTTTTCAATGTAGATATGTAGAACAGTTGTGTTATTACTTAATATTTTTTTGACAGACATAACGGGTAAATGAATGGGGTTATAAGCCATAACTTCTATTGCTATTTAGCTTACTAGGGAAATACTGCTTGCGCTCCAGCCCTTTTGTTGTGCAAGCCACACTGTAGGTTCTAGGGGCACTACAGTATTTTTTGACAGACATAATGGTTAAATGAATGGGGTTATAATCCATAACTTATTGCTATTTGGCTTACTAGGGAATTACTGCTTGTGCTCCAGCCCTTTTGTTAAGTGTGCGAGGCACACTGTAGGTACGGAGCACTACATTCCTGAGGCCCAAGGTGCAAAACACAAACACACACACACAATCCCTAGGACCCTAGTTATGTAAGGCACAAATATATTATACATTTCTAAGAAATTTTATTTCTATGTATTGTATATGATAAGGCACATATAATTTATTGATCCTCTGGGATCTCAATTGTGACGTTTGATTTGTGAATTTGGTTCTACCATTTAAAATTGGTAGTTTTAGCCCCTGCTTCAATTTTAGCAAATTTAATCTTTACAAACTTATTACAAGTTGATTGACGGATAATTAGTTGAGGTGTTAAAATAGTTATAAATAATAATAGTTCAGTGTAGATAAATAAAAGTTAATTAGTTTTTTAGGTTAGGTTTTGAAAAAACATTGTCCTTTTATTTTTGTATATATATTTCAAATTTTGTGTTAATGTGTGTCTTGGAATCAAAATATTCAGTTTCACAAGCCATGCTACCGAGTACCAACAAAAGAAAACATGGCTGAAACTGATGATAATTTTAGCTGTTATCTACTGTCCTAAAGCAACATTTAATAAAATTGGAAGGATAATCCATTAAAGTTGGGATGAAGGGATTAAAATAGTTCGATTAAGATAATATAGAGACCAATTCAAAACTCCTGGACGCCAGCTTTGTTTGTAGTTCCTGAAATTGAGATGGATGGTTCTGGTTTTTCATATCAAGGGATGGACCGCGCGGCTGGGGGTGCAGCTGGGGGCAGTTTCCCTTCTAGTGCTTCAACCTGGGACTTCAAAGAATAACAACAATTCCTTTATCACCCAGGTCGCTTGATTCATGCTAGTTTTGTAGTTATTAAATATTGTTTTGTGTAATTAACTCGTTTGTATGGTAATGTTGCAATATTTATCAATTGAGAATAATTTTATGTCGTTGGGAACTTCTCGTTTGCTTTGCTAATGTTACTTTTTATACTGCTTATCAATGATATTTTGCTTACACATGTGGTTGATAGAAGCAAGGCTTGAAATGTAATGTGATTTTTTGGGGGGGTTGTCTTGTAGGTGAAGAAGGAGAATGCAGAGGGAGAAGCATTGGGAGCTTTGCCTCTATAACAACGAACCATTCCTTGAGGTTTGCAGTCTCTTGTAGTTACTGGCTGTTGAAGCAATCTTCTTCATTTTTCTTTTTATGTCCAATGATGCTTTGTTAGGTCAAGTGAAAATGAGTTTTGCCTTTCCTAATCGGCTGGTTACACGGTGATCTCTGTGTCGGTTTTTGAATGGAAATACTATTTGTATCTGCTGCCATGATCATCATTGGTGTTGGGTTTTCATCGATGAATAAATTAAATAAAACTCTGATTTTATTTGTATGAAAATATGCGAATACTTCGAGATTTGGGTATAATTTTTATATTTGGAAAATTATACTCGTAGTCGAATACATATTTTATTTGTATCAGTTATGAGTTACTATTGATTAAATTACCCTGTAGTTGTATCATGCTGAACTTCAATATGGTATAATTGATTTTGGTTTTTATCAAATAAGATTTTTGGCTATATTTTTTAATATTCCTTCATTTATCCGATTTGCACATGTAGAAGCTTATTCAATTATGAACTGTTGGGATAGTGGATGATGATCCAACAAGGAGTACTTTGCATCAAGTAATTGCAACTTTTTGATTTGATGTTTAGGGTATAGTAAAGGCATCGATGTGGAGTTTAGTATATATGATTAAATCACTAAATTCATTGGATCGATAATCAAATCAAATAGTGTATAGTAATGATTAGGGGAGTGAGATGGATTCCATGCTTGGATTTGTTCCAAAGCGTCGGCCGCTGCCAATATCGGCAGCGCTGTTAGGTTTCCCCATACCCCCAAACTTTTGTGGCCACAATCTTGTTGGATGTGGTAGACGTACGTACGTACAATTAAATCAAAAAAATGATTTAAGACCCCCTAGTATGAATCGCTTTCAAAGTCAAAAAATTTTCGTATCATGGCCCTACCGTCGATTCGGGATAAGCTGGAATAAATAAAATTAATTACTTGTAGTGGTAAGTAATAACTAATGGTATAAATAAATAGATCATTTGATAAATTGTTTATGAATTGTTTATTTAATATTTATTTATTGAGTTAAATAAATGAATATAAATAAAAGTTTTATATTTATTTAATAAGCGAACGAACGAACACGATCAAAAGTATGTTCGGTTCATTTATATTCATGAACAAACTCGCTTATCAATTTGTTTATAAGTTTATTTACTTGGCTAACTTTTTTTTTCCTTTTATATTTTAAATATTGAAGAAGATATGAACTAAATTGAACATAAGGTGAACTTTGGAGTTCAAATTGTGAAACTTAAAGAAGTTTAGGAATAATGGTGTAATTTTACCATTTTTTTGGCTTTGCAAATAAAATTATATTTAAATAGCGTTGATTGTCAAATATTAAGCGAATGTGAAATGAACATGTTCACGAATGTTAAACAAACGAATATGAACACATTTAAAAATAATTAAAAGAAAATGAACATGATATAAAAAATTAAAAAAAAATACAAATCAAACATAAACACATTTATAAACAAATACAAATATAATTTTATTCGTTTAAATTTGATTCATTTACAACAATTAATAACTTACCCTTTGTGATTATCCCATCTTGATGTCGTAAACAAGTTGCTGGAATTGAATCAAGTGTTGTCACGCAATGTATATATTAACGAATTAAGTCAACAATATCTACTTAGGATGTCATTGTTCATAACGAATAGTTGCTTTAAACCACGTTTTCAAAGGAATGGCGACTTGCAACCCTAATTCACTGACTTGAAGTACTTTCTTATTTATTAAATAATGCTACGAATCTTATTTTTTCCGCCGACAGACTTGAAAGAAACCTTGAACAACGAAATCTATACAAAATACATGTTTTGGAAAAGCTAAACAGCTTTTATACAAACATTTGTTATGTACACAAATTAAAAAAAAAACTATCCTATATATCTATTACTTTAATCCAGAAACATTAATTTTATAACTAAATAAATAATTAAATACTTTAATTTTAATAAAAAATGAACCTCTGTGATTTACGAGAATTAGGATGTGGTTAAATACATTTTTGAATGTGACTGTATCCATGTCGAAAGAAAGAGAAGAAGCAAAAGACGAGAGACAAAGGTTGGTATGATATAATGCATATGCTCGGTGGTTCACATGCAGAGATGATCACAGAGGAGATGAGGCTGAGATTGGGGTCGGCCCCCTGCCCATTTTGGTTTAATTAATGGGATATTGGCCCACGTGTTTGGTTCTGCATGAAACCACAAAAACAAGCCACGTCTTGAAGGTTTTTGTTTTTAGAGGAAATCTCAAATAGGGTTGGGTCAGCCATAGATTGAGGGTCCCAAATGCTGCAGCACCTAGAAATCTGAGTCCCACCCCTTACCCCTTCCTCGTGATATGTTACTCCCACCACGTCATCTCATGCATATTTTCTTTCCTTTTTCAAGTTTTTAATTTCAATTATATTTATAATGGAATTCCAATTCAATGTACATCAAAGATGATAAAATGGTAAATGCCTTGGATCACTTATGGCTATATTGTATCATCAATACATCTATCAAAGAAAACATTATTATTATTTTTCATTTATATATATATTAGAATTTTATGATTCAAATATGATTTAAATTTAAACATGAGTATATCTTTATTATTAAATATAAATTAAAAGTAAAAAAAATAGTTTGAGTAAATTCTTTTATACAATTTTCTTGTAACAAAATAATTATCCTTCTAAATATATATTAAGGATTAGAATTAGAAGTCATGTTGTTTTATGTATATCTTCTTGTATTCTTCTTTATATATATATATATATTAGACAGATCTTTTCTCAGCTGCATATGATTTTTCTCGTTTAAGATATTTTCTATAAAAATATTATTCTTTTATCTTGATTATGATAATAGTATCTTTGAAACATAAAATTATTTATTGGATTGTAACACTATGACAGATGAAGATTTTATAATTTTGTAATCGATGGATTTGGACAATGTTTTGTTAGGGTTAGATAAATATAAGGACTGGGAGATAGACATATAAATCTTTCGAATAAAAATTTATAGGATGTATTGAAGGAGAAGCATCTCATAAGAAAATTCAACTCACAGGTGAAAATCTTATTTGTGGAATAACTAAAGACAATGATTCTGACAGTTACATCAAAGCTAGGTCAAAATAATAATAAAACATGTTATTATTGTAAGAAAAGATTAAATTAAGTAATATAAGTTGCAGAATAGAAATCAAAGAAATGATACTGATCATACGAGAAAATTACTAGGAAAATTCGAGAAAATAAAATTTCTTTAAAAGATATAAATGAATCCCTCCAGTCTAAAAAATAAAATATATCAGGGAATACTAAACTATTTTTAATTAATTATTCAAAATTATAAAATTGTTTTTTAGTTTATTAAAATTTTATAATAATAGATTATAAATATCAGATAAACTCAATGGTTGTTTTATAACATTTTAAATAATTATTTTATAATAATTTAGTAAATTTAATAATTAATTTTGAAATAATTATTAATTTATAATTTTTAAAACTTCAAGGATCAAATTAATTATCTGAACATAGTTTAATGACTGGTATTAGTATGCTTTTCCCAAAAAGAGAGAAACAATTATAAATGCCAACTTGGTAAATATCCTAAAACCCGAGGGATATTTGATGGTTGAGCATGCATATAAGCCCTTTCTCCCTAAACAATATCATATCTGTATTCCTGTTTCCTGTATTTTCTTTCTCTTATTAGAAATTAGACAGAGTTTGTAGAAATGAGAGGGGTCGTATTGTTGTCGGTGCTCCTTTGCGCCATCCACCGTATCGCACTTTCCGCAACCGCCGGTACGGTGGCGGACGGTAAGAACATACATACATGCATGCATGTAAATATATATAGTCTTTTCGTTTTTTTTAATATACTGTAAACCTGCTATCTTCTTACCGATCCTATCTGATTCAGAGAGATGTCGGGTTGGGAATTGGGATTTTTGGTTGGTATCGAGTCGTATGATTAGTTGTTAATAAAGTTTAAACTTAGTCTTAACATAAAACCTAGGTTTCAATAAGATATCCTACAAGAGTGAACTAATTATTATATTGGTTTAAAATATTTGCAAATAACACGAGAAAATTAATTAGCACTATATAATATACTAATAAAATGTATAAAAACAAAGTTTATTAAGATATCTTTGATTACATAAATATTAATATAAAAATTTAATTATTATAGTTAAAGATGAATGAAATGAAATAACGAGACAATTACTCTTTGAAAAATTTTAACTTCTTATATATTTTAAATATCTTTTGTATCTATATTATATAATATTCATATCATAATATAAAATCTTTCATTCATCTTTAGTTATATTACACTGTTAAATTGGTATTTAGAAGTTTGATTTTTATTTAAAATTTAATGGAAATTAATATGATTATTATCTTTTAAAAAAGCGACGCCTAGTGAAAAATTCAAGTGGTGGACCACTGTACTACGCAGTTCAAGTGTTGAGAGCAGTATATATGTAGATTGTTATTAATCCTATTAGCTTGCTATTTTTAATAAAGATGCCAAAGTTTGCCGATCACTTTCTATTTTAGGACATCTATTGATTTATCTAAGACATTTTATAATCAATGAAGTCATAATTAATGTTGTGCGGCCATATTGAATTTCAGGACTGTTAGAAAATGGTAACTTCGAGCTCGCCCCGAATGCCTCGAGCATGAAGGGAACCGTCGTGGTGGGGCGTTACGCCGTACCGGGATGGGAGAACGAGGGCTTCGTCGAATACATAAAGTCGGGGCAAAAGCAAGGCGACATGTTGCTGGTGGTGCCCGAGGGAGCCTACGCGGTCCGCCTGGGGAACGAGGCATCGATCAAGCAGAAGATAAAAGTGATCAAGGGGATGTATTATTCCATCACATTCAGTGCCGCTCGCACTTGCGCTCAAGAGGAGCGGTTGAACGTGACGGTGGCACCCGATTCAGGAGTGCTGCCGATTCAGACGGTGTATACCAGCAGCGGTTGGGACAACTATGCATGGGCATTCAAAACAGAATCCAACGTGATCACGTTGATTATTCACAATCCGGGAGTCGAGGAGGATCCGGCTTGTGGACCACTTATCGACGCCGTTGCCATCAAGGCTTTATATCCTCCCAGGCCTACTAACAGTGAGTTCTTTTTTATCGACTATTTTCAGTTCAATTTGGTTTTAGATAGAAGATAAAAAAACTTGAATTAAATTGAATCATATAATTCAGTTCTGATTAATTTTTGGATTTCATTGTTATAGTGTTGAGTATACTCAATTTTCAATTACCTATTGGTGCAGAGAACATACTGAAAAATGCTGGCTTTGAAGAAGGTCCTTATATATTCCCCAACACTCCATGGGGTGTCCTAATTCCACCCAACATCGAGGACGATCACTCGCCTCTCCCCAGTTGGGCAGTCGAATCCCTGAAGGCCGTCAAGTACATCGATTCGGACCATTTCTTCGTGCCTCAAGGCCGAAGAGCCGTGGAGCTAGTCGGCGGGAAAGAGAGCGCCATCGCTCAAATAACAAGAACCATCGTCGGCAAAACATACAGGCTGTCGTTCTCGGTGGGAGACGCTAACAACTCTTGCGCCGGTTCTTTGGTGGTGGAGGCATTCGCCGGTCAGGCTACACTCAAAGTCCCGTACGCGTCCAAGGGCACCGGTGGATTTAAGCGAGCTGCACTGACGTTCAAGGCAGTTTCCAACAGGACAAGAATCATGTTCCTCAGCACGTTTTACACTATGAGAAGTGATGACTTGTCTTCCCTATGTGGCCCTGTCGTCGACGATGTGAAACTTTTGAGTATCCGTAAGCCATGATCAACTCCACCTTGTTGATGAAGCAGTGTCGGATATGGTCTATGTATATATTAATCCAACAAAATAAGAGTATATAATATATACTGATATGAAGTTATGTAGTATACTAGTGTGATTTCAATACGTGTTTAATTATGTATTTTACCATAATAAATGTGAAATAGTTGATTACTATTTCATCTTTTTACTTCAAGTAAGTAGAAATAAATTCTTAAACTTTTGTGACAAGTCATTGTTTTATTGGCTGAAAGATATTTTTTAACTAAGATAACAACGTGATTTAATATAATTACATAATAATAATTTTAATATTTAATTTGACCGAAATATGATTAAGTATCTTTTTACTTTAATTTTTACTATTATTAGATGATTTAATTGTAAAATAAATGTTTAAATTATATTCTTTTAAGTGTTTAATTATTTTTATTAATACATTTATTTAATATTTTATTATGTAATTATTTTAAGATTGAATAGTTAATTGTTATTTTAGAAAATAATATCCAATAATTTTTTGGATTAGACTAAGGTGATCATAAAATAATATTTGTTCGATAGACTCAATGGTTTGACAACAATAATTCAAACACCCTACAGACGTCCTACCACCTTGCCTGTTGCCAGTTGACTGTAATATGAGCAAACAAAAGCTTGTAACTGCCTGTTGCCACCTTGATTTCCACAGAAACTATCTGATTTTGGTAATGGGCAGCTCTCGGGAGATGCATGGATCAACAATTTGCATGACTAAGGGTGTGAACCATCAATTTTCAACTACATTGTTGTGTTTGCTTCACATTACTGAATGGTTTGTATATATAAAAGCAGATGCGACGTGCTGCCTAGTGACCAGACGGTTTTTAGACGACTTAAATATGTCTCAGTTGAAATTCATTGGTGCAGATTAAGATCGATCCAGGCAGTGTCCTTGCCCGTTCTACTGTGTCACGGCTTACGTAATAAACTCTCTGAATGCTCTTTTTAATCAGCAACATATTTGTTAATGTCAAGGAACAAGGTTTCAGGCAAGATGCAGGAGCCCGTATACCTGTCGTAACTTGATAGTTTTCATCAAGAAATCTTGAGCTTCGTTGTATCTGCTATAATGAGGTCATACACTGATGTATCAAGCACATCCGGTTTAATCTCATGCAACTGATTGATTTACTAGAACTGTATCATCTCGATATAAGTGTTTACTGGTTACGTTTTATGTTAACTGCAACTTAACTAGGAAATAAACTAGTCGAAGGATTCCGAGTTGGCATTGGCACAAGGTTAAAGCTTGCATATGCTGTGGCATGGAATTTTAACTGCCCTGAATCCTACATTCAGGCCTAAACATAACAATCGAGGAACATCTTCCATGTTCTAGATACTGCAATGCAGGCTTGGTCACTATACTGTACCTGAAGAAACAGATGAAGTCTGCCATTGGCTAGCTGCAAGGCTAGGTCTTCAAGTATTAAAGTCATAATACCGATCATCATATATGGAGATGGAGAAGAATGAATTTAATCGGACTTATATTTATAGACTATAAACAGGTAGCAGAGAGATAAGATGTTTGGCATGGGATATATGTCCCCTATCGATCTTTTAATTCCCTGAATAAACTTTCTTGCTATGAATTACATTTTGGTTTACAGCCTGCTAGAAAACATCCCAAATTAAAAACCATAATACTGACAAGTAAATGAAATAAATAAATAAACGGAAAAAAACAGATCAGGAGGCAGAAACATTTCTGAAAACATGTCCACTACTCCTGATATGTAGCCACGTGCATTTCGGGACAATGGGAAGAAAATGGATTGCACCAAATCATGCATATAAATGGCAGAATGCTATATAAGTTGATAAAAACCATATACAAAACCTTAAAGGTCCTAAGATCACCATTCTTTGAAGCCCAAGTACAATCTATCACGAAAATGCCTAATGAACTATAATGTAGCAAAAAGTCGAATAATTCGGTATTTGGTTACAACATTCACATGATAAATGGCCAACAAAATGGAACAACTTACTTGAAAGTGCAGGTTCCATAATCAATCATTGCTCCTATTTTCTTGCAAATCATTTTTACTCTGAGTACCGCTGCCTTTTGAATCAATGCAAGGAGTGAGAGGTGGGAAAGAAGGCACAGCTTTTAGTATGAACTTGCGGCCACTTCTTAGTGGTCCTGAAGAGCTTGATCCAAGCTGGTGCAAATTGTGGGGAGGTGAAACTCGCTTTCCATTTGGGGAACCTGCTTTCACAGGCTTAATGGCCATAGAAGTGTCTTTCAAGATCTCTGGCATATCATCCTCCAAAATGTCAAAAAGGCCACCATCAGCAGAGTCAAGCCCCTGAAGGTTTTTGATCTCATCTAAAGGAGACATTGGCGTAATAGGTGAACTGTGCCAACGAAGGGAACCTCCTGAAGTGAGAGAACCACTTCTAGGGTCCAATTGGAACCGTGAAAGGTTTGTCAATTCCCTTACTTTACACAATGATGAACCAATAACGTTTGAGGGATGATTGGGCAGTGGAGTGTGATGGAATTCATCAGCAAGCACAACGGCATTGTTATAGCCGATTCCCTCACAGTAAGATTCAATATCCAATTTTTCTTTACTTGTTTCCAGAAGCATGTCATTGCTATCAGAAGTTCTAGGAGATCTTGGAGATTTTGCATATGATAAGATGGTAAGATCAGACTCGGGGGAAGGAAGGCATCTCCTGGAAAGAAGTTTGGATATGGATGCTTTCTTTCCATGGCTGAATAGAAATGTAAGTAATCAGCAATAAAGAAGTTGAATAGGTATATTTAGCTTTTTCTTAAATGAAACTAGGACACCATAATTGTAAATCTTACTCTGAGCACTGGAATGAAGGTGTCAAAGGTGTACTATGGTGTGGATCAAACAACTCAGAATGCAAAACATCCTTCTTAGGTTTAGTGGTCACTCTACTTTCCAATCTTCCTCCACTTCTGTTGATCATTTCTTCAGTCACACAATAGTCTGGAAATTCAGAATAAGGATTAAAAGGAGTATACTGATTCTCAATTCTTACTTACCGAAAGAAACCAAATTCAGCCAAAAATGAACTCTTAAATGATGTTGGGAGGAGAGCCTATTTCTTTAATGTCTAGTATTGCAGATGATGACAAGAATGCACAGAAAGACATTTCATAATGATATTTCTTGAAACTAACCTTCCTTCTTGCCATAGACATTTTTACAGCCCTCACATCGACATCCAATAGAGCAACCAACATTAGCCTTTTTCAATATCAAAAGAAGATTCATGAGTCCAACGAACAATATACTAAAAGAGATTACATAGAAAACATGAAGATGATTCGGGCAGCAATGTATTTCCAGACCTGGTAGCATTCACAATATTTTTTCAGACACATTGACCTTTTGCAATTGCACCCTCGTTTGTGTCTTGCTGAGGATGGTGTCTTCCGGTTTCCATCTTCCTATGAAGGGAAATATGACTGAAAAATTACTATCAGGGAAAAGAAAAACAAAGCAAAAAGCTTTGGGACAGGAATTGTATTATACCCTGTTGCTTAAAGGAAACTCAGTGAATGGTTGTACAATCTTGGGAGCAAATGCAAGTGGATTACGTGATTCGATTTGTTTACGTGTTTCAAGAACTGTATCTTCATATTCAGGTCTGTTGAGACAACCTTGGCAGGAACAAGGTTCAGCACAATAGATTCCAGCAGCAAAACAATCACAATAGCTGAAAAGGAGAAAATCAGAACATGCACCAATAGAGCTATGCTACACATATAACAGAACTTCAACCGAGTAAAAACAGAATTCACTTACAGTTTCAAGCATTTGGTCCTTTTGCAATTGCAACGCTTGCAACCCTCACCATCTGTGCTGTTTAATAGTTTCTTCCTATAGAAATTAAACTATTAATGGACCTAATTATTAAGAGAAAATTATATCTGTGAATCAACAAGAAGTGTCAGAAAAACTTGCCTTTTCTTTTTGGGGCTTTGTTGGTCAAACACTTTCTCACTATCTCCATCCTCTGAGCTAAATTTCCTCTTTGTATTCAGAGTCATTTTACACTCGATTGATTCCATGGCACTGAGTGATTCTGAAACAGCAGAATCTGCAATTGTACAAAGATTCACTTCAAGTGTTCCATCTTGAGGAGGAGCTAATACTTTCTCAAATTCATCTGAGCAGCTGCCCATGTTTTCAGTTGACTGACATGTTGATTTATAGCCTGTGCCAATTCCATGCTTGCACTTCCACCTTGAGCCATCGGTATAGCATTAGCAATGCTGTTTAGGTGTAAACCAATACCTGATGGCTTGGGAACAGTTAAGGAAGACTTTTCACTATAACACTGGGGAATCAAGTTTATTGCTAATTGGGACAAGTTAACAAGTTGATTTGTTCTAGATGTAACACTTGAATCAAGATGAGATGAACCCAAACCCTCAGTTTCAGAAGTTGTAGCAAGTGATGCTGAAGAGATAATATTATCTGCTAAATTTGTAGAAATGCTGCTGTTTGCTCTAGCTTGTGGTTGAGCTTCTCCAAATTGAAGGCAACGCCTACTCATGCCTCGTTGGAGTTCATTAGCCTACATTGACTGTTGAAATTATTCTATAGCAAAAGGAAAATCTAGGAGCATTTAATGACCAAAAAGGAAAAGGGAAAATAGTTCAAAGAGAAATATGAATCCAGTGATCTATTTTTGATATCTCTATATCACAGATACTTCAAATCATTTTATACCTCAAGATCATGTGTCATGCTATGAACTGGAACATCTACATTTCCACCAACATTTTCAGCAGTATCTTCATATGACTGAATCCCCTGTAGAGATCCAGGCAGATGTTGAAGGAAACCATTGCATCGATTACCATGATCCTCTACTACTTTCTGCCAAAAGAGAAAAAAAAGGGACTGAGATATGCATATTCTATCTCCTAATATACATGGTACTATTTCCAATTGGATGGTGGAAGATGGAAACAACTATTACCTGAGGAACCAAGTTTTTACACTCTTTTTCCTTGGAGGAAAGATCAAATGTATCAGACTCAAACTTTTGTAATTCATCAGATAACCCTTGAGCAGCACCTTGCTCATTTTCAATCTTCAATGATTTGTCATCAGAGGTTAACTTTCTTTCAATGCTTTCTTCACTTTGCCCAGATAATAATTGAGCTGCATCAACCTCACTCCCACATTATTTTTGTTGCCAATTTTAATATTCTTTGAGTCAGCTAAACCACTAACTGAAGATTGAAGCACATTATTAGATTGTTTCAAATTTGAATTGACTGCATATGCAGAGTTCACACAGTCTGATTCCACAGGGTCAGCCAAGTATTCATCGACACATCCAGAGGAACTACTGGGTTGGACTGACACATTGTCCTTGTTATCATCTTCATTCCTAATATCAGTGACCAATCCCTCTTGAAATTCAGTAAGAGATCTTTCTAAAATGCAAGATTCATGAGTTATTTTCTTGTCCCCTTCACCATTTCGAGATGCTTCCACACTAGATGACTGAGGCCTGGAAATAAGGTCTCATGCAATCAGAACTCAAGCAAGAAGTATTCTAAGTGAAAAATGATAAAGCCAAAATACAAAGGTGGACAAACCTTCCAATTGTATTTATACGTGGAGATGTAAACACAAGAGGGGGAGAATTGAGTCCAATAAATCCTTGTGCTACATGCGGTGCCTTGTCATGCTTTATAGGAGACAAACTGCTGATGTAATTGGAAAAGGGGGACTCCTGGAATCAAAGTGGAAAACGAAAAAAATAAGAAGTCCAACAGATCATGATAAAGGGAAATGACATCCATCCATTCCTAAAAGCCATGCAATTATCACAGCAAGAACTCGGAGAGAAAGGGAATGTAAGGTACAATTGCAAAGTACTGGAACTTAAACAAAAACAGTTCTGTAATTGGCTGCAAACTAATGGAAAGTCAACTAAAATCAAATCCAAAGTTGTTAACCATGTCAATGTCTTACAATAATGCAGACAAAACAAAACTAGCATTAACTACACAAATAATGAACCCAAAACTAAACAAGGCACAACATCATCACCTTGTGCAAAACCTAGAACCACAAAGCGTTAAACATTCAAGCAGCATTTACTCATCTTCTCTCACACAACTCCAGTGACAGAAAAGCATCAATAACGACAAATATAGATCATCTTCAAATGCAAAACATCATCCAATTTAATAAAAATAAAGTCCTTGTCAAAATTTTAGTTTTCCCCAATTAATTGAGTCAAACTTCCCAATCCATATTCAAAAAACTGCCCAATACCCAGTAAATTAGTGGAATTCTAGTTCAACCCACCACAAATCACAACTCTACCAACAGAGTTAAAATGTCACACTTAAATCTCACACTTAAATCAAGTGCCTCGACCTTTGACCACATCCACTAACAGATACAAACCTCTTCAAACACAAATCTAAAACTTAGACCAAGAAGCAAACTTACATAAAAAAATCAAAGCCAACAGAGGGTGTAAAAAATAAAGTTAAAAGATCTAAAAATACATGAAATGATAAGTACCGCCATTATTTTTTTTATATAAAAAGGAAAAATGAAAAAAATACTTGAACTGGAGAAGAAGAAGAAGAAGAAAAATGCTGAAGCAGAAGAGGAAGAAATTGGGAACTTAGAAAGCTTAGGAGAATTCATGCTTTGAAACCCTAATACTACTTAGTCTCTGCATTTCTTATTTTCCTTTTCTTTAACCTCCAGAATTTGAGATTTTTGTTGAAAATTGGTTTTATGGATTCACCTACTAAAATCGAGGGTTTGGCAGCGAGACGTAGGCAGAGAGGTCAAGGGCGGGCATTCAAAATCCGAGCGGGAAACACAGCAGACCTCATCGGCCCTTTTTCTTTTTCTGGGCCTAAAATTAATAATTCCTAATCCGCTCTATTGGGTATTGAACTATTGATTGTTTATTGGTTCAAAGACCTCTTAGCTCCCTCTAAAATTTGACACTGGGAAAATTGGTCCCTCTCAAAGAAAGATAAGCAGTTTAGTCCCTTCTAATTTCTAAGTCTATCTCCTAAGGACAATTAATCATGGAATTTATGTTTCTCACCAATTTATATTATTTTGATTGATATAATAGTAAATTTAACCTTCAATATTTATACGTGATGCCAATCCTTATCATTTCAAATTAAATAAAATGATTTTAATACCGAGTTGTACATAGTAAAGAGACATTTTGTTTAAAATAAGAAATAAAATAATCCCAACACTTGTCATTACTATCTTGGTGCATTTTTCTTGATAAAGAGGACTAAGCGAGGTTGGTGGGGAGAGGGAAGCAGAGCATAGGAATGGACAAGATGAGCAGCCCTAGGAACATAGCACGACGCCTCCAAGAAAAGAAACAACTATTACGATTGTCCTCTAAAGTCAAGAACCTTCCTGCTACTCTTAGCTTCACCGGCATTGGTTGGTTTCAATTAATTTGCAGATGTAGTGGGCAATATCTGGAAAATAAGTAAACCGAAATTTAAGTACTACCAACCAACGTTAATACTTACACAGGTACAAGTAAACCGATGGTCCCACGAAAGTTTTCTTGATATCTCCCTTTCATTGCAGCCCTGCAGGTCTGCAATCATGGCGCCAACTCCCCTCCCCAGAAAAAGATGCCACCTGTTGATCCACCGCTTCATGCCGCATTGCTGCTGCCATCCACGTTCCTTGTTTCCAGTTCTATAAAACTTCATCATCTTAACCAATTATTCAATAAAACAAACCATGTTTCATCTGCTTTCTATCTTCATCTTCCTTATCTTGATAACCGGCTCTAATTCTTCAAACACCTTCATGATTCCCGTGGATCCTCTCTTAAAACCATCACCTTTCCAGCATCATAAACTTTGGTACGACTCTATGGTTTCTTCTTCTTCATCATCTGCTATCATTCATGGTTTTTCTGCAACTTTGTCGCCTAACCAAGCTAAAACCTTACGGGAACTCTCTGGGGTTCTCTCCCTGTACCCCGAGAGAGTCGTGCATCTCCACACGACTCGTTCACCATCGTTTCTTGGTCTGCAAACAACAAATCCTTACGTCATAGACACATCTGGATCCGACTCGATCACTGGGTTTGTTGACACCAGAATTTGGCCCGAACATCCGAGTTTCTCCGGTTCACTGGAAAGGCCAGTGTGAAATCGGCTTCAAATTCAATCATACCAACTGTAATCGTAAAATCATAGGTGCTCGTTACTTCGCAGATGGATACGAGTCTTGGTTCGGTCAATCGGATAATCTGGTCAAAGAGTTTCGATCCGCTAGAGACTCTGATGGACATGGCACGCATGTTGCATCCATTGCGGCAGGGTCCCCTGTGCAGGGGTCTGGTTTTTTCGGTTTTTCAGTTGGTTCGGCCCGTGGCATGGCCCCGACTGCAAGAATTGCTGTTTACAAGGTGTGTTGGAGTTCGGGGTGTTTGTTATCAGATATTTGTAAGGCTTTTGAAACTGCAATGAGTGATGGTGTCCACATCATATCACTTTCGCTCGGCTCATCTCGTTTGCCTTTCTATCTTGATTTATTGTCCATTGTGTCCTTCCGAGCATTTTCTAACGGTATTTTCGTATCTGCTTTGGCCGGAAACTACGGCCCGACATCGGCAAGTGTAGCTAATGAACCGCCTTGGATCACTATGGTAGGCGCTGGGACGATCCACCGTGATATCCTGGCAAAAATACATCTAAAAAACAACAACGTATCCGCCATCACCTTGATGCCTAAAGATGACTTGCTGCGCAAGCATCGCCCGCTACGCTTCGTTGGTCAATTCAATTCTTCCTCCAAGTTCAAGTTTTCAAGGCAATTAATTAAGGGTAAAATTGTGTTCTGCATGACACAAGGGCATGTAAACAGATTGTCACCTGGGGCTGTGCTTAAGATAAATAGGGCAGTTGCCATGATAATCTCCATGGCATCGTCGACCCGAACGGAATAGTCTCGGAGCCCCATGTTATCCCGACTATTAGCGTCGGGATTGAAGCAGCCAAGCAAATCGAGGACTGTATCTCATCTAATAAACAAACCCCAAAGGCTAAAATTTCATCACAAGGAACATACCAATGCATGCAAGGCCAGCATCAATCGTTGCCTCATTTTCTTCAAGAGGTCCTAATTCTCTTGTATCCGGAATTCTAAAACCAGACATTATAGCACCTGAGGTAGATATTTTAGGAGCATGGACGAATACGATCGGGCCGTCGGGTATTCCATCGGATCATCGCCGATCAAGATTTAACATCATGTCCTGAACGTCAATGGCATGTCCACATGTATCGGGTACTGCAGCCTTGATCAAATCGAACCACCCAGATTGGGGTCCGAACAAGATAAAATCAGCCATAATGACAACCTCGATGTCCCATAAACGTTATTACCATAGACATAAGCCATTTTCAGCTACATCTCCGATCCCAGACGAGTCCACAGGCAATGCCGCAACACCATTCGAGATCGGAGCAGGGCATATACTACCTATTAAAGCAATGGTCCCCGGTTTGGTCTTTGATTCGGAACACCAGGACTATGTTAACTTCTTATGTTCATTAAATTACACAAACAAACAATTGCAGATCATTACAGGATCTAAATCCCTTTGCTCTAATGACGGTACCTGGGAACTGAACTATCCTGCAATAGTAGTGGAGGCAGAAAGGGTTTGGCATCGAGACAACCCGGTTGTAATAACCGGGAAGCTGAAGACAGTAAATGTGGGATCCACAAAGTACGAGGCTAAGATTGTTGGTCCTAAAGGGTACTACAAAGTTGAAGTGAATCCCAGGAGGATGAGATTTTCTGGGATGTCTGAGGTGGTGAGTTTGAGAGTGTTTATAGAGAAAGACAGTGGAGTCTTGCAGGAGAGGAAGAACTTAAATTAGTGGTTTGGGGGTGTTGTATGGAGGGAGATAAGGGGGAAGCATGAAGTGAAATGTCCAGTAGTCATTTTCTCCAACGACTACATAGGTAGGTGGAGAAATTAGGTTATTAGCAATTTTCTTGATTGATTCTCGTAAATACTCCTGCTTTTTCAGTTTCATGGGTTAGTCAGAGTATCTCTTAGTTGTGCATGACAATTGACCATCCCATAATTCAATACATCTCTTGGTTAGAATAGTAAACTACACTCGTGTTCTAAAATCAGAATAAATAGCTGACAACTACTCAAGAAAGAGAGAGAACAACACTTGAGAACTTCTGACTCGTATCTACAACTCATATGTCAACTCTTTTGACTTCTTTATAAAAGAAAATACTATTGAATAATTATTTACGGATTAATAATTTTAATCAGTTATTTATTGAAATATATATATATATATATATATATTGCTGATTATTATGTTAGTCGTGCTTGAAGCTTTTGTCCTACGTGACGTGATCAATCAAAGAATTGTTTTGTTGGTTCAAATGAAAAACACATGCAACCAAGTCAATTTTTTTTCTTTTTTTTACATATAACGGATTCAGATTCTTAAATTCACCACCCGCATCAATTTTTAAAATTTTCACTTGCTCAACTACAATATGTAACCACAAGTCAAATAGTCTTATTTAAAGTAAATTCAATATCATAAATTAATAATTATATTTAAATCAAATAGTAAATAGATTTATATTTTAAAACAATTATACAAATTCGAGCTGGAATGATATTTTTTTAATAAATATCTGATCCGCTATTATTCCTAACTATGCATATCACTTATTATATGAATCTATGAGCACAAAAAAATGAAACAGAGCCGTACGAGAACTATAATGAATATCACAAATGTGGTTGTACTAGGAGTTAGACCCCAGATTATTAGCCGTGCTCCAAACATTCTCATTCTTCCAGATTTTAGAAGGCCAACAAGTGCAGCTGCCATGCAGAAGTAGCTTCTCACAAGAATCTGTACAAGAACCAGATGAAGGAGATGAGATGACAGACAATATCATCTTTGACATCAATGGGCTTATGAAAGGACACAAATATAGACGATTGTGTGCAGAAACTACAATCACCGACGGTGAAGAGTACATTGGAAGTGGCTGGCTCCGTGCCGGTCGGTGGTCGTCCACTTTATTTTCTCTTTCATGAACAGATGGCGGCAAGCATATTATAGAAAGGAAACATTCATGACGGCTCACAAGATAGGTTCTGGAAGAATTCAAAGCATGGATTTATGCACCATGCAGAATCGATTCTGATTGGGAGAAGATATTAGAATAGTTACATACTCGCTGAACATGGTATACTTTTCATTAATCTAGCCTGTGATAATGACACAAGGTTTGTTTTTTGCAAATAATTTATGTATGGGCAAGTAAGACAGACTATGTATATGCCTTCCTACAAGACCTACGCATGAAAGAATAGAAGATTTCTTCATACTAAAACAGAAAATGTAACTGAAACAAAAAGGTGGAAGGATAAGAACCTCTAAGCACCGGGTGTCAGGTACTGCAGAGGCTTCCTTTGTTCAAGTTATAGACGTTTAACAGGTTAGCCCAGCTTCAATGGTGGATCATAGAATGGCGGATCATAGGAGCCATTTACTTTTACGGTCCAACAATCTCAGGTAGGAAATTAGAAATTTACCATGATGTTCTTGACAAGGCCATTGGCAGTGCCTCCAGGAAAAAGGAGTGCCTTCACCTCAGGTAGGAAAGGGTTATTTGCAATCAACTGGGAAGATGTAACACGGCAACAGAGTTGAACACATTCCAGGTCTCAATGGAATCCTGCCGAAAGAGAAAAGCTAATGAATACCCATTTTGTAATCAAATTCCAGTATGTTTTACTCGTTCATATATTCCTCGATCAAAAGACCATGGATAAATAAAAAAGGAATGTCATCATTTATTTTCATAATATTTCCAACAACGATGAATGAACAAATGCACCTATATCCAGGTAAGGCAACTGAAAAAGCAACTAACTAACCCTTGGGGTGCTAGTTCCAAGGAATCCTTCTGAGTGGAACTCATTGAACGGGAAGTTAACAAATACAATTTAGCACTCAGCTGTTCATAACTGCATGATATATATTTTATAGCAAATATTTTACTTTCGAGAATGATTAGCCAGGAATCATTTCAGTTTTCATGAACTACAGTTTGTTTCCTTCTCTTTGAAAAACTCCAGGGTTTTCAATTGCCATTATTTTATTAAAACTTCATTAGGTGAAAACAATAAAAGAAGCTTATTATTCAATCTCATATCTTCAGAACTCGAGTATGATGTTTCACTCAAAGAAGGTGCAGTTTCAATGCAGAGGTTTTTATTGTTGTACACAATCTTGTCCGAAAGACTTGGAATACTTTGAACAATCTCAGGATCAGCACATTGGGTGCAGCATATGAGTTGAACACATGAAGTCATATTTACAGTCTTCATGGCTGTCTCTTTAAGAAATTCATCTTAAATAAATTTAAAACAAAAAAATAAAAGCATTCCATTCAATTTCTAATCGGCATGGTTGCCCAAACAGGCCACCTATGCTTAAGTTATAAGCTCAGATCAAATTAACATCGCAACTACAAAAAAAAAGGGAAAACAGTTTCTGCAGAGTATAGCGTTCCTTAATCACTATATACATGAAACACCACCAACATTGCCTGATACAGTCAATCATTTGTGTGAAACAAAAACATAAATAACTTCTTGAATCTAGCATGTTGACAGTGTGGGCATTTCATGCTCTAATAATTAGACCAGACAAATAGTCTGGGCCGCTTAGAGACAAGATTCTTAAAGTTTTCAAATCTTGAATAATGTAAAGTACTAGCTTCAGTTGGAATCACCGGTGCAGTGGCATAACATTACATTAAAATGCAGAGCACCGTTTAGCTTCAGTTCACAATACTTTGCTCTTTGGAGAACCCTTTGAACAACCTTAAATATCCTCATCAGTTAGCGAAATCTTAACTGTGATATATCTAAAAATCTGAACCTCACGACTACTGCTCACAAAACAACATTAGTTCATCGTCCAGTCGACAATAGCATTAGTTCCGACTTTAATTACCTTCTTCTCGGCGCTTTCTCATTCACTGTTACATCCAAATAGACCAAGCGTCTATATGAAATAGATCTCATAACTACTTGCCAAAAACGAAAAGAAAAAACTTAAAAGCAAAAAAATGCAACTAAACACAGGAACCGACATATCTAAAAAGGTACAGACAAGAGAGAAAAGTAGAGCAACAAAACAAACTAGAATGTTGAAATAGCCAAAACCCAAGTGCTAAAACATGAAAATAATAAAATCTAAGCAACACCCAGATTGAGAAACAACTATGAAAATGAGAACTAATGAATCTAGGGAGCAATGGAGCAAAAAAGAATGAAAGGGATAAAATGAAAGTGACCTGAAAAGAGGAATGCGAACAATGATAATGAAATTTGACATAGATGAGATGTAGCTCAGCCATCCTGTTGACGCCGTTGATGATGTTGCCAGTCCCAGAGACCTTTCAATTTTAACAGTAGCGGAGAGAGACACCAATGGAGAGACGTTTCTACTCTGGTGGGTCTTCAATTGAACCTGGGAAAGCGAACCTGATTTTTGAATTGATGGTAACGACGCCGTTTTTCAGCTGATGTAAGTGGTTAGGTGACTGACAAATACGACAGTGGGATTGACAATTCAGGGTTTCATATTTTTATTTTTTTTTTGCAGTGGTAAAATCTTATATTCCAATAACATCATCAATAATAACTTGTTTGATACAATCAGGTTCATCAAAGTAAAATCAAACTGGATTGTTGTTCGATAAAGTCTAATGCGTAAGAGAATGGGCGACACGATTAGCTTCCCTACATACATAATGCACTTTAAAAGTAAGAAATCTAACTAACATTTGTCTAGCCTCATTGAGCAGCAATCTAATTGTAGATAAATCATGAATCTTTCCCGTCACCTGATTAGCCAACCTGTGGACAATGGATATGGCGTCACCTTCAATAACAACTTTATTCCACCCATTCTCGAAAGCCATCCGAATGCCTTCCGTAAACGCAGCAGCTTCCGATGACTCGGCCGAAAATGGAGGCTCAATCTTCTTAGAAAAACCCCCAATCACCATACCATACGCGTCCCTAGCCACAACACCAATGGCCGCAACACTAGAATCCTTGCAAAAAGCCCTATCCACATTAATTTTCACTTCATCCTGAACCGGTTTTAACCAAACCCATTGACGACAGATAACTTCATCATCCCTTGAAGCCCCACCTGTCTTAGACACTCTATTGAACTCCCCAATCAAACTCGAGGAACTAAAAATAATGTCCATATCCGATTGCGACCCCCATTATGCACCAAGTTATTGCGCCGATTCTAAAGATTCCAAAGCAACGAAAGGAAAAGATCGAAACCTTCATTGATTAATTTGGAATGAGCAAAGGCCAACCAAGATAAAGGAGAATTCCCACTCCAATCAACAATCACAGGAGAAAGCCCCGACAACACAAGAACCGACTTAACTTTAGGGCAATCTTTAATAGCATGCAAAATCGATTCCAATTCTCGATTACACAGAGGGCAAACTCCATTTCCAATATTTGCTTGTAACAATTTGGCGCCCACAGGGATTGCTTCATGACAAATACGCCATCCAAAAATTCTAATATTTGGAAGAACCCGTGCTCTAGCCACTCCGTTCCAAATTCCAACCGCCACCAAGGTCGGACTATTCCGAAGATTCAACCAGTTATAGCCAGACTTAGCAGAATAAAAGCCCGAACCATGATGTCCCCATAACATCCTATCCCCTTATCGGAGCAATTAACATCTTGAGAACTTGCGCAATATCTTCCGTCCGAAACACTCCGAGCACCTTAGGCTCATCCCACCTAGCACACCCAGGAATCATGAAATCCGTAACCCGAACCGATTGATCAGCATTATCCATGTATCTCTCTCTCCATTTGAAGGGGCTAGCATCCCCCCATTTATCCTAAACATACGAACCTCACTATCAATACCCACTCTCCAGAAAAAATCCATCTTGAGCTCTTCTTTTGCCTTCATAAGACTTGCCCAAGCATAAGAAAAATTAGCCCCGAGCCTAGCCTAAAAAAACGACGAGCTCGGGAAGTATTTCGCTTTAAGGACCTTAAACGCCAACGATTTATCATCCTGAATAAATCTCCAAATCTGGTTCCCAAGCAGCGCCACATTAAATAGTCTAAGATCCCTAAACCCCATCCCACCAAATTTTTTGGGCTGACAAATTCTATCCCATGCAACCATAGCCCAACTGTAACACCCCAACCCGTATCCGACCCGGATACGAATCCGAGGTGTCACATTGACCTTTTAAAACATGTACTTGTTTAAAATAGTGAGTAATTTAAAACTTTTAAACATATAAATGACGAATTTACATAAAAACATTTTATTATTACAAAACCAATCAGAGCATGATATTTCACTTATTTATTTACATATAACTATTCGAAACATTTATAAAACTGTTCATAGCTTAAACAATGGATTCTTTGAAAACATGCCAACTAGAACTTTATATACTAAAATATTCACATCTTTTTGATCTGACCTTTAGTAAGGAGAAAACCTGTCTTGCTCCACATTGCTCTTTCCTCTCTCGAAACCTACGTGTAAATCACTTACACGCTAAGTCAAAGACTTAGTGAGGATATAAACATATAAGGTAAACGGTAATTAATAATCATTCCTAAACAATTAATATCATTTCATACCACATACTTTTACATGTAAAAATATATGCATACATATATGTCATTATCATATCTCTTATCTCATGTTCCTATGATCTCTTGTCCATATCATATAAATATACCATATATATACTATTATAAAACACGTACACCCAAGCAATTATATTATCATCTTCATTTCTTTTCTTATTTTATCACTATCATGATTCCTTTCATCATATGGTCTTATAAGTTACCATTTGTACAATCAATATCACACATGAATTCCACAAGGAAACAACATATTATCATATCACTTTATTAATATTATCTATTTAATAGCCCATGATACACATGTGAGAACTAAAGATATGCGAGTACATAGAGGTTGTGCACTAATGCTGTCACCACAGCTCATATAATTGCACCGAAGTGCCACGTAGAATTGCACTGGAGTGCCGCGTAGAATTGCACCGTAGTGCCATATAATAATGTCCATAAGGACCACATATCATTCCTTAAGAATCATATACATATACTAGGGATCAAGTATGTGTCTCACCAGACTTCACACATGTTCCAAAGAATACATATATGTCCCGAATGACCACATATCATTCCTTAAGAACCATACTTAAACTCTTCTTATCATCCTTAGTTTTACTCAAACATTTGAATCCTCACAAAGAATACATATATGTCCCGAATGACCACATATCATTCCTTAAGAACCATACTTAACTCTTCTTATCAATCCTTAGTTTTACTCAAACATTTGAATCCTCACTTCCTTCCTCTATCACTTTACTATAATCACGGTATACAACTGTATCCATATTCACTTCATATTTGGTTATCATAACCTACCATATCTTGAAATCTTGTAATTTCAATGCATTCCGTCCCATAATCTTGTTAGCCCACGCTAACTCTTTCCATCTTAAATACAAAAACAATATCTACCTCACTTGATACATTTATACTTCTTATCCTTCACATTATTTAATTTCTAACAAAACACTTAATCCATTCCTGATCTTTATCCATTTATCCTTTTATAATCCGCATTGTCTTATACATAACTAAACCATATCATGTTCTTCATATTCCCATGCTCTTTATATCACATATATTTATCCTTAACTATCACTCCTTATCACATTTTCATTACTTTGATAGTCAACTTTACTCACACAAACCTATTCTTTACCATTCTTATACTTATGTTTTCCACTTGTTTTAAAAAAAATCACCAGATTTCAATACTCATCTAATCCTTTAAAAACTTTTTCTGCTTCGATTTACATAACTTCTAAAAGAGCTTTTAACCCATTCACAAGGGTTTGTCTTTACCCTGACTTATCCTCAATTAACTCTTTGTTTAATCTTTCAAGATCAAACCTACTGTTGGAGTCTGTCGAACCCTCATCTGATTTGATTCTCTGATGGAGAATACAACTAATTCATGTCTGGTTTAAAGTTGAACCAGAATCTCTACCTTTCTTTGATGTGCAAAATTCTATGAAGCACTAATTCTCTTAATCATCTGAGATTTTATTTCTCCAAACTTTTCGTTCTGAGCTTTTTCTCTTTAAAGCTTTAACACAATTAACCATTTCTTGAAACGATAACAAATTCAAAACCAGTAACACTATTTTTTTAAGGCGCAAGTCCTAACAACAAATCACATGTATCATTTTCAGTCGGAATTAACTCAGCAGCAATTCTGCTTAGCTTAATAAACTTATAATCATACTCATACAAGGTGTAATTCCCTTGTTTCAAGCTTGTGTATTCTAGTTTCATCTGTCTTATAACTGATCATCAATGCACTTATTCTTGAACGCTTATACAATTCTAATCACATCATTTAATCTTTTAAACGTTCTTAGGTTGACAATTGTCCACCATACTCTAACTTACCAAAGTAGTAACAAAACTACTCAATTCAACATCTCCACTTTGAAGAAATGAAACCTTCTATCATATCATTCAACCAAAGGTCTATAACAATAAACCTTCCTCAAATCCACCCTTGAACTTGGTGCTCGCAACTTTATCACTAATTTGATACATTCATTCTATGAGTTAAAGAAATATAATTGTAACACATCAGAACATTCTTCAACAAGAAATTTTCCAAATTTTATACAGCATTTCTTGAGGTGTTCGCTCTTCTCCCTGCCTGGCCAGGGTAGTGAATGCTATTACCTTCAGGTTTATTACCTTTCACTTCTTTCGAAGCTCTTATTATCATACTTCTATTATCACATAATAATCTATTTTTATTAGCAAGACAGCTACTCCTTACACTATCAGATCATAATTTTTCACTTTGAGTTGGCATGCACACTTTTTTTAAAATACTTCTGACTTCTATTTAAGCCTAGAATCGCTAAACCGTGGCTCTGATACCATTAAATGTAACACCCCAACCCGTACCGACCCGAAACGAATCCGGTGTCACATTGACCTTTTAAAACATGTACTTGTATAAATATGAGTAATTTAAACTTTTATAACATAAATGACTAATTTACATAAAAACATTTTCATTATTACAAACCATCAGAGCATGTATTTCACTTATTTATTTACATATACTTCAAACATTTAGTCAAAGACTTAGTGAGGCATATAACATATAAGGTAAACGGTAATTAATATTATTCCTAAACATTAATACTATCATTTCTACCACTCATACTTTTACATGTAAAAAATATATGCATACATATATGTCATTATCATTCATATCTCTTATCTCATGTTCCTGATCTCTTTGTCCATATCATATAACATATACCTATATATACTATTATAAAACACGTACCCCAAGCAATTTATTATCATCTTCATTTCTTTCTTATTTTATCACTATCATTGATTCCTTTCATATAGGTCTATAAGTTACCATTTGTACAATCAATATCACACATGAAATTCCACAAGGAAACACATATTATCATATCACTTTATTAATATTATCTATTTAATAGCCCATGATAACAGTGAGAACTAAAGATATGCGAGTACATGAGGTTGTGCACTAATGTTGTCACCACAGCTCTATAATTGCACCGAAGTGCCCGTAGAATTGCAACCGGAGTGCCGCGTAGAATTGCACCGTAGTGCCATATAATAATGTCCATAAGGACCACATATCATCCTTAAGAATCATATATATATAGGGATCAGTATGTGTCTCACCAGACTTCACACATTTCCAAGAATACATATATGTCCCGAAGACCACATATCATTCCTTAAGAATCATAACATATGCCAAGGCTCAAGTATGTGTCTCACCAGACTTCATACATGTTCCAAAGATACATATGTCCCGAAGGACCACATAGACCCTCGACTCTTGGCATCCAACTATACCCCTAGCTCTCTGACACATAACATGGGCATTACTTTTATATTCTTTTACATATCCATGTAACCATATCATATATTCATAAGCTCATGGTTTCATTCACATATACATGTAATCACGAGTTTCTTTCATGTAATTCATGTCACTTTCATATGAATTCATATTCATATGTCACATAGGATTCACCCTCATGTATCACATATACTTCTCTTTCATATGGCTCATAACATT